CCCATCTGATTCTGACTCTTCCTTTCCTGTTTCTGGTTATGATCAAGGAGGCAGCAGATGGCAGAACTTCCCCCTAACCTTTTCACTTCTAAGACACATCCTGCTGTTTCCTGCTTGTTCCTCATGGACTCTTCCAGCTCTTCTTCAGGTCAGGGTTCAGCTTTCTCACATGGTCACTGTCTTGGTTAGACCATAGCATCCTTGTGTTTGTCTGATTATGCAAACAGGGGAGCCACAAACCAGGGGACAGTGTAGGTAGGGGGTTCAGAGGGAATCTAAGCAGGGGGGTTCTGAGCAAGAGAGAAAACATGAAGGAGATGATGGGTGAGGAGGGTAGGGTGCTCCTGCTTATCCTGTCTGTGACGTGGCCTTCTGTCTCCCCCCTGTAGATATTCCCACTCATTTCACAGTCTCGCTGGCTAGTGAAGAGTGGAGAGCTGACGGCCCTTGAGTTCAGTGTCTCTCCAGGGCTGCGAAGGAAACTGAACACACGACCTGTCCATCTGCATCTCTTCAATGACTGTCTGCTGCTGTCACGGCCCCGAGAGTCAGTGGCTGGAATGGGAATGGGAGGCCGGGGACCAAGAGGGGAGAAACAGGAAGGGATGGACTGAAAAGGACAGAGAAGGGTCCTGTTCTTAGAGGGACTTCTCAGTGGCTCAAACCATAGAATTTGTAGGTTACAGCAAAGAGCAGAAAGGCAAGTGGGGGAGCCCAAGGCAAAAAACAGAGCTCCTACCAATTTTCGACATCACAGGATGGGGCCTGTATTATGTTATAGAAATAGGACAAAATGCAGCTAATTAGCTTATTGCATTCCCAGATGAGCCTATTTGTGGCTTCTTTGGGCTCAGCCTACCAGCTTGGAAATATTTGGCTCATATCTGGTCTTAACTAGAAAAGAATGGGAATCCTGGTCCTTGGAGCTTTAGAAAATTTATATCAGTTTTGTCCAGTTCGTTAAAAAGTGTGTGGTGCACTACATGGGTGATTTGTCCAATTGGTGACACAGGAAGATCTTGAAGCTACCATCCTAGGAGCAAGTTAGGGGCATCTTATAGTTTTTATGGGAATTTGAGGGCTGTAGATGCTAAGGACATGGATTTTGAATTCAAGAATGTGAGGGTGGATGAAGTATGGAAATGCAGAATCCATTTGAAAAGATCTCTGTTTTGCAGGGGAAGCCGCTTCCTGGTGTTTGACCATGCTCCCTTCTCCTCCATCCGAGGGGAAAAGTGTGAAATGAAGCTGCATGGGCCACACAAAAACCTCTTCCGCCTCTTCCTGCGGCACAACACGCAAGGCACCCAGGCTGAGTTCCTCTTCCGCACAGACACTCAGTGAGTTGGGGAAGTCAGAGGAGTTGGGGGTCAGTAGTTTGGGGAGGAAATTGGGGACGGCAGATGGAAGAGGGCTTGGCATCTGTTTTATACCCTTTACTCAGAAAGACAAGGTCTGTGGGACACAACAAGGGGATGGGCTGGTATGGAATGGACAAAGAACTGTAATACCGATGTCTACAGGTGAGTGCTCACGTGAATAAGCCACAGTCCCTTCAGCACCCACCACTGCTGGGCACAGAAATGAACAAGACAGGCACTGGGTACCTTTTGCTTTCCTTTCCACCCTGGTCAGCCCTCTGTTGAGCACAGATCCATAATGTTGAGAAATCTGATTTGTTCATCTTCTCAATCAACAAAAAACTACTCTTTCCACATATGAACTCATTTTTGAGATAATAATACCGGTGAAATGTAGTACACAATGCCTGCAATAGTGAACATATAAAACACTACTATCATTGCTATTATGGAAGATAAGAGTCTTTTAAAAAGTGCAACATAGCTAAGAGTCTGAGCTTCCCATATTGTAGAAAACATGTCCCTTAGAAGACTACACTCAGGGATCTGTAATACCTGTCTGCACTTAGAGAGCAGAGAGGCTGTCACAGGAGGTTGTAGCGAATAAGCCAGACAAGCAGGTACAGATTTATGCTGTTCAGTTAGAGGTTGTGGCAACATCTTCCCAGAACAGTGAAACTGTCGTCTCTTGATTACCAAACCACATTTGGAAGCAGATGCTAAGGTAATGCAAAAACCTTTAAATGATTACAAAATTATGCTAGGATTACAGTGTGCTACACAACAAAATTAATATTAGATCTAGCTTTAATTACTTTCACAGAATAATTTTCATCTTTGAGATGTTTAATTAAAGGAAAGTAGGCAAAGGGATGTCAACAATTATGCAAAGTGATCAAGAATCTAAATTGAGATGAACATTGTACTCAACATAATTTTCAAAATGGAAAATCAGTTATACTTCAAAATGAATATAATTGATGGCTGACTGTCTGCCCTCCCTTGGAAGATAGGAGAAGTTATTAAAAGTCTGGGAAAAAAGAAGGGGGAAAAGTGGACGAAGACACATCTACAGATTATCCAAGATTGCACCATATTTCCAAGCAAGCAGGATTCCATTGACATTTTGTCATAGAGGTTGTTGAACTACATAAATCCTTCTGAGATCCATTTGCCTTTCCCATCATTGGCCTTTAACTTATAATCTCAAGCTGTAACTAAAAAACAGTGAGTCTTCTTTGTTTTCCCAGAAGTGAAAAGCTTCGCTGGATCTCAGCCTTGTCCATGCCAAGAGAGGAATTGGACCTGTTGGAGTGTTATGGTGAGTGAGAGTCTAAAAAGTGGTGGAGAAAATCAGCAGATTCAGGCTCTCCTGTGGATGCAGGACTTTAGGGAGCTGAGTGGCAACTCTATGAGCTTCTGTTTATCGCTTTTCTTTAGGGTAGAAGATGGCCACCGGAGCTTGAACACCTGACACCTATCTGCTTAAAAGTGCTCTTAGCCACACACTTTTTCCCACGTACACTGCCTGCCTTAAGTGATAGTATGCTCTTTCTAAACTATTTGTCCCTTTGGGCTGCCCTGCTGTGATGCCTAGATGTTTCCTACTTGAAGGTGTTGGGGAATTCAAGGGAGACAGAAAGTCTGCAGCGGAGTTTCAGAGAGATAGTAGCACAGATTTGTCCTCACCACACCCCCTCCTATACAGGAAGGCCTGAGGGGTATTTGCTCAGGGTGCCTCAGGGTAGCCCCAGGCTTGCTCACTTTAAGAAGTGTGTGCATTCCTGTGAAATTGGAATTCTAGCTGGCTCTCAGTCCTTGTCCTCCAGCAAGGACTCCCTAGTTTATATCTGGAGAGGAAATGTACTCAGAAGAATACTATAGACATCTAAGTTAAGAAAGAATATAATGGGCACTCAGACAGGGACAGGCCCACAAAGAAGTCAGTGCAGAAGTTGAGAACACATTACAACTGTGAGTGGAGGTGCCCATGTTAAGGCCAGGACAAAAAGGAATTGACTACACCTGAATAATTCTGAGGGCTGAACAGCAATGATTGATATTTTAAATAGGCATCAATCACCTGGGGTAGGAGACCAAACCCTCCCTGACCCATTCCCTCTGGGAAAGGCCCTTGTCCTTTCCATACACAACTTGCTTCCCCATCAGATCAATATTACCTAAGCGACTATATTTGTAATCTTATTAGTGGATTATAGTTTTGTTCCACCTCTTACCCACCTCGTGAGATCCTGCCCACCTCCTAATTTTGCTCTATAAAGCTTCCCCTAAGAAGTGGGTTCCTGTGCACCCCACTTTCCTGATATCCCCTCCTGTCCCTCTCAGGCAGGAGCTGGTTTTTCCTCAATAAATATTTCCTACTCTTGACCTTATTCCTTGAATCCATTCTTTGATTTTAGAGAACATGAACTTGGATGTCTAGCAGGCTGGGAGTTATAATATTTACCTTTTATTATTTAGAGGTCCATATACCACCACTATGTCAGGAATATTAGACCTTTAGTGGCTGAAAACAACAAATGAATTTGAGGAAACTTTATACAGGAATGAGGAGAACCAAACTATAACTGAATTCTATTAATCACTGTGTTCTCCATTGTTTGGCTTCACTTCTCTGGTGAATGAGTAATGTGAGATGAATTTTCCTCCTTTGTTATGATCTTGTGAAAGACAGATGGAGATGAACTCTAGAAAACATGACTAATAATGCAATATTCTCTTTATTTTCTGAGAACCAGAGAGCAGTATGGTAAATTATAACAGTAAGTGCATGTAAAACACAATATTTATCATCCAGAAATACTCTGGATTTTGCTATCGTGAGCTTCAGATCTATGGAGATTTTGCCTGGTTCAGGAAAAATATAGAAACAGAAATCTGGAATTTCCACATTAGTCATTTTGATCAACCTTTTTCACTGATTATCTTGATCAGTTCCAGATAAACTGAAGCTGAAGGGGATCAGGTAGGTTCTTTGCTTAGGTAGTACCAGAATTTTTCTGGGGGAGTTTTCTCCACTTTCATATCTGGCACAGTGAGGAAGATTAAGAATGAGCCACAGACTCAGATTCTAGTTGGAGAAGCAACGTACACGCATGAACAGATGAGGATTACATGATTTCTCACCAGTAGTTTTAAGGAGTTAAAAATCTATAGAAGATAAAATGGTCAGGAAATGTTTTGAAGAGGATTGGCTCTCAGCTGACTTTTAAGTATTTGTAATAATGAGTAACTAATGGTAGTCACACCTATTTCTTGTCATCTTCCACCGAAAAGTAGAATTTTTATCAATTTTCATTCTAGTATTTCTATTTTTAAATCAACTTTTATGATTCCTGGTATATAAAGATTTTTCCAACTACCTCTCTTATCTCAAAGCCCATACAGTACTTATTTTTATCTCTAGTCCTTCCAAGCCCCTCATTGAATTCCTGGTCCATGTTCTGATCCTCTGCCTGTCCTAACCTCTCTTCATCTTTCTCTTCCAAAGACTCCCCACAAGTCCAGTGCCTGCGCGCCTACATGCCCCGGGAGAATGACGAGTTGGCTCTGGAGAAGGCTGATGTCGTAATGGTGACTCAACAAAGCAGTGATGGTAAGAGGGAGAATCCACGAGCCCAACATTGCAAGCAAGAAATGAAGACATGCATTAGTTTCCCAGAGGTGCTGTTGGCACCACAACGTGGTACCACAAGCTGGGTGATTATACAACATAAATGTATTTTCTCATGGTTCCGGAAGCAAGAAGTTCAAAATAAAGGAGCAGGCAAGGCCAAACCTCCTCTGAAGCCTCTAAGGAAGGCCTTTCCTTAACACTGTCCAGTTTAGTAGTCCCAAGTGTTCCTAGATCTGTTGCATCCTAACACCAGTTTCTTCTTGTGGCTTTTCTCTGTTGTGTCCAGATTTCCCTCTTTTCTGTAAGGATACTAGTTATAATTGGGTTAATGTTGACCCTCTATTTAACTTTATTAATTTCACCTGTGACAACCTCTTCCCCAATAAGATTACCTTTTGAGGTACCAGAGAATAGGACATCAACACATATTTTGAGAGGATACCGTTGAACTTATAACAGTGGATAAGGCTCAGGAAGGGGCAGCAGGGCTTCTCACCCTCTGGGGTTCCCCAGTTCCTTGAGCCTTAGAATGTGGGAACACTTCCAGGAAGGAGGTATAGGGAACTTAGCATGAGCCTGTCCCAGGTGATTCTTCTTTCTGCTCTCTCTGTTCACAGGCTGGCTGGAGGGCGTAAGACTCTCAGATGGGGAGCGGGGCTGGTTCCCTTTGCAGCAAGTGGAGTTCATTTCCAACCCAGAGGCCCGTGCACGGAACCTGAAGGAAGCTCATCGAGTCAAGACTGCCAGGCTACAGCTGGTGGAGCAGCAGGCCTAGCTGCTCTGCCGGAACCTCCTGAGCATACAAACAGGCTGCTCCTGGAGATAGCTGGCCCCAGAACCTTGCTTCAGAGGCCTTCTCTAGCCCAAGAACAAAGCCCAGCTGACCCAGTCATCCGGGGCCTTCATTTGTGTGGGGGAATATTGAGGGTCTTCACACTGGACTATAGGACTCTTTTCCTAGTAAAAGTAACTGTGGGGCCTGAGCCAGGGAACTTTACTTCTACAACAGTATAGTATGTAAACATCCTCTGCTTCCAGAGTACAGATTCAGATCTGGCCAAAGTTTAGTCCTAGCCATATGTTCAACAGAATCTGACCTCAATCTACATGAGGGATATGTTTAAGGGAGATGAAGCCATCAGATGAGAAGGTCATCCTGATGACCTCTAAGATATTTTACAACCCTAGAGATACTCCACAATTATTGGTGTGAGCAGAGCGCATGCCTCTCCGAGATCTGTCTCTTGGTGGCCATGTGAGAGTGACATTCTCTCAGTCTAATAAACTCAGCACTTCTCCAAGTGTATTCTTTTCAGACTCTTCAGTACTGAACAGGTTTCAGAACTGTGAATGCCTGGGGGTTCCAATATGTTGGCTTCAGGTGTCAATGAAAGACCAAGATGGTACATAGGATATGGCAGTGACTAACTCCAGCTTTATAACACTGAGTTTGGGCAGTTGTTCTGTTTGTTGTGGCTCCAGAGGTTGTAGAATGAATTAATGAATAATGTAAACTCATTCAAACATTTTCTACTGTGCCCATCAGGTAGTTTGGGTGGATTTGACAAATACTTCTCAGACCATTCATGACTTTCTACTCTGACTTGAATTATCGTGAAGATGTCTTCTGAGGTATTGTATCTTCTTTGTGAAAGGCAGTATGGTGTAATGCAAAGACTTTTAGAATCTAAGTCAACAGACCTAAGCTCTAGTTACTTCAGTGCCATGACTCAAGCTGTTTGTGTCTTTGTTCCATTAAACATAGAATGTAGAATCAGACCAAACAAACCCCTAAGCTTTATCCAACTCTGCCACCTTCTTTAAAACTGTCTTCTTTAAAACTGTCTTAGCTGAAGAATTTTACTTTTCTTTTCAAACAGAACCCTCATATAAAAATAATGTAATATCTGTTGTGCCGTCTTTCAAACTGGATCATGATAGTTCCCCCTTAAACACTGTACTACTTTATAATTAGGAGAACTCATAACTAGACTTGCTTTGCAGTTTTATGTAAAGGTAATGCTGACATTGTAAAATTTGTTTTATGCCCAGGTAATGATGATATGCTGTAGTGGTATCACTTTTGATAACTGACTTTTTAGTCCATCCTGAAACAAAAGTTAGCTTGCTTAATTATTCCTATAATGATTAAAATGAGAACTAATATTTTATCTAAATTAGAATGACTGTCAAAATAATTAAATTAGGGATGGGTTTAGAAAAGTTTGAGATTTTTCACAATGTTTTAAAGCCATATTGTAAAAAATATTAATACATGATTAATATGTATGTGTATATTAATATATAAACTAATGGCTAATAACTCATTAATAAACTAATTACTAGTAACTCATAGCTATAATATGATCCCAATTATTTGTGCAAATCAGCCTTAGAATACTGGCCATATGGCTGAAAGTCATACCAGACCTTATGTTTTCTAGATAAATTCTCCATTATTTGCTCACAAAGGCAAAATGCCAATTTCTGATTGATATATATGCAAATAATTTTTTGAGCTGCATGGAAGCTTTTTTTAAGTCTTTATGATCCTTTTGAACCTAAGTGCTTTAAGATTTTTCTAAAACTCTTCATTAGAGTCCTTTTTAAAATTAATTTTATTAATACATTAATGTATACAACATAATGGCATTCATTGCTGGAAAATTGTACCTTTACATAATCCTGGTTCTTATTTTTCCCCATTCCTCTACCCTCCCTTCAACCCTTTCCTTCCACCCTCCTGCCCTATCTACAAAGACTTTGTTTCCATTGTTTTTCATTTTCTCATATTCTTTTCATTAGCGTCTTACATATATTCTCTTAATTGGTTTTTCTCATTTAATCTGAGAAATGAGAGAACACTTGGCTTCTCTCTGTATTTAGGTCCTTGGTTAAAAAGAAAGAAAAACTCATACGTGAGTGAGTGATCTTTCCTCAGTTGAATAACTAAATTTTCTATACTTTGCCTTTGGGGACATTGAACATAGATTCATTGATTGTCCCTTCCTTTCAATTTCTAGAATTTCACCCAACATTTTCTTTGTTTGACTGGCATGACTGGCTTAGAAAAACAGCAATTGCTTATGAGAAAGTAAAAACAACCATTAACCACCATTTTTTGGACAGAGTTGCATTTGAAACATGTATGAACAGACAGTATCATGCTGCTTTTTAAAGTGAAACAATGCACAGGATAGTGTCTTCAGATCTCAATGATAATCCTATTTATAGGCCCCTTTATGATGGTAATATGAGTGAAGCTTAAAACCTTAGGAATATCTGCTGAATTATTTCTCTTGTGCCTTTGACAATACTGAACCTGAAGGTCATGTTTATGTACTCACAAAGCTCAGAAAGCTATTCATTAAAGTTTATTTTCACCACTAACTTTATCTAAGGTTAATTATGATCTTAAGACTGTGTACTATGTACTAACTTGGTCAGTTATAATGATTTTGATAAAATCACGTTTGTGGGGACTTTTTTTTTTCTATTCTAGTGTATTAAGGACCAAATCCAGGGCCTTATGCTAGCTAGGCAAGTGTTCTACCCTTGAGCCACACCCCCAGCCCCTGATTTAAAAAAAAAAAAAAAAAGCAAATTATGATCTTAAGACTGTGTACTATGTACTAACTTGGTCAGTTATAATGATTTTGATAAAATCACGTTTGTGGGGACTTTTTTTTTTCTATTCTAGTGTATTAAGGACCAAATCCAGGGCCTTATGCTAGCTAGGCAAGTGTTCTACCCTTGAGCCACACCCCCAGCCCCTGATTAAAAAAAAAAAAAAAAGCCTCTGGAGTAGAAATTCTTTAAAAGTAAATCAGTTACCTTCACTGGTTTACCTTCTATATACACATACTGTATATACCCCCCGAATGAACTTTCTTTTTGGACTCCATGTTTATCTATCCATAATAGTCTGTATGCTTTTAAGTATTTGGTGGTAATGCCTTTATTATAATTTTTTTTTCTTTGTGGGATCAAACAAGAAGCCCGCTATTTTGTTATAGCAACCCTTGATAGACACAATCACTCTTCACCCACCCACCTCCCCAAGCGTATCACAGAGACTGGGGCATGTTTGTACTTGGGGTTTTAGACCGCTAGGTAAATACCTTTTGTGGTGGTGACTTGGCTTTATCACTAATTAACAGACTGGTGACCCTAGAGCCATATCTGCTGTAAACATGACTCAGGAGCTATATGATCATAACATTCAAACCTGTAGTTTACTGTAATCATCTCAATCTGAAATTAAGTGTGTAAAAGGGCCAAAGGTTATAAGTAAATGAGTTAAAGAGAGGGCCAGGGGTTTAGCTCAGTGGTGCCACCTGTGTTGCAAGCACAAGGTCCCAAGTTCAATCCCTGAAACCAAAAGAAAAAAGTTACAGAAAGGGATGCCAAACTCAGTCTTGATTCAAGTGAGCTTCTTGTTTCAGCTTAGAACATTCTCTGTGCTTAATAGTCTTTGCTCTGTGTTTTTTCAACCCTCCCATTTTCAATGACAGAGAGTGGAAATTTCCCCAGCCTCTTCCTTGCAAGGGTACCCACTCAGTCTGTAATGCCCAGGGAATATTGCAAAATACAAGGAGGAGGCTCCAGGCACAAAGAAAATTCAAGGAATGAAGATGAGTGTACGGAGATGTTGATTCTTTCTGGGTGGCCAAGCACAGGAGTCTGGAGGAAAGAAGCTAGGTTGGTGTGTGCTAAACTTTTTCAGAGCCAGTGAGGGTGGGGGTGACTGCTGATCCCTGCTGCTTGGTGAATGAGTCATGGGCCTGAGGGCATGCAGGGCTTGCAGTAGGGAGGGGCAGAGTCTGGCCCACAGAGTTCTTCAGAAGCTCCAATAGGCAGATGAGTACTTTCCTGGCTCTTTACCTGAGCCTTTCAGAGAAGCTAACTCTAAACAATGCAGCTGGAAACACAGAAGCCCACCAGGAGTTAGTTTTTGTATTGATTAAAATGGCGATTCTGATTCTGCTGGCAGACCAAATTGGCTCCTGAACACCAGGGAGAAAGTTCAGATTGTTGGGAAAAGGTAGTTGACAGCAACAGACCCAGGATATGGTGGGAATCACCAACCCAGAAAGAAAGCCTTCAGGCCATCCTATAAACACTGCCTAGAAGAAAATGAACATCAAGATGTCAAAGAAAGGGTGGGCCCTTTGATGGGACTCATCCAGCCAGTTCTAGAGTATTTTCTTATTGTGATCAACTGATGTGAATGAGAACATCCTCTACTGTTGGAGTTGAAAGAAGCCTGAAGTTGTTTGCACCTAACATCACGCTTACTGGAGTTTGGAGAGGGGAAGTGATTTGCCTAATGTCACATAGCTCATTGATCACCACCAGGATTGAAGCAAATGATCTGCCGAGGTTGTGATTATCATAAAAGGTTGAAGGTGACTTGCTGCATGAGGTGAAGATTGAACAAACAGAATATCCATAGGCAGAATATTTTTAGGTGAGCAGGAGGAGCTGATGGCAAGACGTGTGGTATCATTAATAAGCAGGGTGTTGATGATGGAATGGAGCTGGCCAGGCAACAAGGGTGGAGGTGTGGTTTCAAAGGTATTCATCAACCTTTCACAAGCAGGCTCTAAAGAGCCAGAGAGTCCAGGGTGTGTACGTGTGCATGTGTGTGTGTGTGTGTGTGTGTGTGTGTATGTGTGTCGAGGTAGCTGTTTGGATTTGGAAAAAGAAAGTACAGAAGGATCTTTGGAGAAGATGGAATTGATATAGAAAAATGAAATGAAACAATACTGCCATTAACAAATATTAGAGGAAACCAAGTGAAAGGGTAACTTTCCAGTTGAGTAATCAAAGAAAATGGTTTTATAATATTTTTTAAAACATTTGATTGATGTGCTTTTTGAGGTTATTTTTGCTTATTTGTTTTGGTGCCATAGATTGAACCCAAGGCTTCACTCATACTAAGCATGCACTGGACCACTAACCTCTACCCCTAGCTCTGATAATTGTTCTCTAAAGGTGACAAGGAAGCATCTGAAACTCAGGTTTTAAAGATGTACTTGATTTCACTAATTCCAATAATTAACAGTTAATAGAAAATAGCAGAAACATCAAACAAAGGTGAATAATGTATTCTGGGTGGGGCTTTAATAAGGTGAACTAATAGAGTGGGAAATACTAACTGCTTGTTTTGGCTGGTGACTTAGAAGGAGCCTGAGAAACAGGATCTTGTCTTTAGTAGGCCACAAGAAGATGGACTGGGGTGAGGGTGCAGGAGTGAGGATAGAATTAGAAGGAAGAAGGACACCATAAGCATCAAGGAGGAGAAAGTGCATCAGGAAGGACCATGGAATCTCTGTGGGTAGAGATTCCATTCTCAGATCATAGAACTGTGGCAGGAGGGACAAAACTGAGACAACCTGACCAGAGCAATGAGCCAAAGACAATCTAACATGAAAGCTCAGAATGACCCAGATGCTGTGCTGCTGAGGCAGAATCCAGCTCCTCTGGACTCAATTCAAAGTCCAGAATTAACTGGACTCCTCCAATTAGCTGCAGTGCTCCATAGCACGCCTCTCCTGCCACCGCATAATTAGCTCTCACTCTCTGTATAGTGCAGCCCACATGCATGGCTTCCCTCTTATACCCCTACCACTGTTTTAGTATCAATGCTTCATTCTTAAACCCTGTGAACACCTTCCTATTAAATTGTCTACTCCTAGTCTTGTCACCCATAATCCTCTGGAAGAGAGTTGTGTAAAGACATCAGTTTGACCTTATACTCTTGACCCTGCTCATTACCTATCAGATAATAAGGCTTGTCACAGCTGCACCCCATCAGCCCATCCTCCTTGAACAAGTGCCCCCAGCTTCTCTCTGTTGCCCACCATGCCCTGTTAGTACTTATTCACTTCTCTCTGGGACACATTTCAGTTACCTTCCCAGTTGTAGAGTATATAACATTCCTGTTTCCTTTGATAATGGTTCTAGCTCTTCCATTCCACCATAATGTCTGCATTTCTTTTTGATTCAAGCTGAAGAGTATTTAACATAGACTGAGGGCCTATAGACTTGCTTTTCATTCTAATCTGTGCCTGTTGCTTTATGACACTCACCCTGGCCTTCTGACTTCTATTATGGCCCTCTAAAATTATCAATAGGCTGTGCTGATTGAAGTTGGTGCC